TAGCTTTAGTGGTTCTTCAAATAACATTTTGTATTCTGAAGGAATTATAACAGTTTTAAATATGCATGTAAATGATTTAAACGTCAGAACTTCTCAATTAGAACTTCGAAGATATTACAGATATCATTGAAAATCAGGGCTACTTACGATACGATATCCGCAGCACTATATTGCTCCTTTTTGAACAGATTACTTTCTTTCTTTGTTATTTTTTTTATGATTTACAATAATACAAATGGAAATAAATTGTAATAAACCGGCGCTCGAGGCTTGGTCCACATGAAATTAAAAATAAAATAAATTATACCCTATGTTACACAGCGATAACGTAGTATTTTAATTTTGAAGGAATTTCTAAAATCAGCCCAGTCGTTTTTGAGTTATATCAATACGTACAGAAATATACATCTTTCCTCTTTATAATATTCAACGTTAATTATTAAAATGGCCGTTAAACTGAGGATATTCTACGTAGTTTGTTGCATACTATAAAATTAATGGAAAGAATGTGGTCTGTAATTTATTCACGTAGATACAATTTATGGTAATAGTCATGAATTGTATTTCTGCAAATCGTTGACGTAATAAGTCTATATTAAATATGACCATAAGTGATCGTATTCTTCAAAGGAATGTACAGTGAGTTTCGTTGGCGATTGCCTCCTTAAAGAGATTATCGTTAGATCGATTTGCACGCTTTTAAGATTTAGGGCATGTCCTATCACTGGCTGATATAGGCTTAGATAGCTTAAAAACGTCACTATCAGATAAGGTAACAAAATCTGATATTTCCATCACATATTTTACACGTTTTTATCAGACAATTTACAATTTGGTGGAACAGGCCCTAAGTTCGGAGTAATTATTATAGGGTATTGAACAGGTAACGCGTAGTGTTTTTGATTGATTAACCCTAATTTTAAGGTAAAAAGGACGTAGTTTTTGTATGAAGTGTTGAATTTTTTATCACTGCGAACGGCGGCGACTGTACATTGATGCATGTAACTACATGTGACTGCATACTGCATGGTACAATTAAATTGCAACGAGATATAATGATAGGGGCTCTGTATGCCACATGTCTTTTACGGTTGCTTTGCAATTTATAAGGATGTCACCACAACCATTTATTAAAAATAAACATTAAATATTATCTCGAGTGTGTACGCGCTTTCTTAACACTTTCAAATATCTGAAACTTCATAATTTACAAACGAAATTAAGAAATACAAAACCACATTAAGAAACAAATCTTTTATTATTATGTTACGCATTATTTTTCAATATTATTAATTATGTTTCGAATTCTATAAATAATGCGGTATTTACCAACCCTGTCTGATGATAGATGACCATAAAAAATAAGATAATATTATTACACGGTTATTTTCCAGAATTATCGTTTCTTCCACCGATCTTGTTTAAAAAAAATATTGTATTTGCAACATATCGTTGATTAAACATTGGAATCTGCACTGGTGTCTCCATTTTACAATACTTTTTTATTTTTATAACCCAACTTTATGACAGATTCAAAATTACAGACTGCCAGTTTCAACAGTTATTTTTTTTTCTAATTTGGAATATTTATATGCATAGTGTTGTATATCTTTATTTTCAGTAACATCGTTAATCGATATTGAGCAATAAAAAAAATGATTGATTTTATTTTAACATAACAAAACATCAAGATGCTGCAACGAAGATGAACAGACCTTAAAATAATTTGACTCGATAGAAATTTACATAATTCGTTTAAGTAAGAGATGTTAATTAAATAACCTGTTACTTCTCATATAATTTATATTGGCAGGGACAAGGGACTAGCACGTAAATTTACAAGAAAGTATTCCTTACGTAATTTAAATATCACTGGCAATTCTTATACAAATTCTAACAATGACGTTATGAATACTCTCTCCCAAAGTTTCGTGTAAAACTAAATTGTCTTGCAATTATTGTCCAATCTCAATGAGTTATGATGCGATTTTTAAATTGTATAATCTATGGCGAGAGGTTAACAATTAAAAATTAAGAACGATGTAACAAACGTAACTTTCATACGCTATCCTTAGTTTTAAAATAAAGCTTGCTGTATTATAACTAAGCACAAAAGTACCTATCTTTGGAACAGTTCCAAGTACTGAGTTCCGCTTTCCCACAGCTTTAAATTCCACCAGCACAATAACTTCGTATAAAAGTTTAGTCTGTACCAGAGTCACCTTACGCAAAATCCTTAATAGCTTTCGGATGTAGTTATACAATATGCATTTGAATATTCAGCATTATAACGTAACATGCGGAAGACACACTATTCTATATTATTTTACGAGGCCTGTTAGAAAGTTTTTATATACTTATAGCGCTCACCTAAAACTAAACTATTCCACAACTGTTTAGTCTCGCTTTGATTCCTATGAGCTTATATGGAGGTGTCCGCCCTATTAGATTTTTAGTTGTGCAACTAAACAGTTGAATTGGCTGCAAAACAATCGACAATCGCTAAACAATGCGATAAAGGTGTGTGCCCACTGTACCGGGAGATTCCACAAAATACTTGTGTAAAATCTGTATCTCTTTTTGCGGCAAACGGTGGACCATGTCAGGGTTATTTGCTAGTAATACAGATGTAAACGTTGTTATTATAAAATAATCATTATGCACTACAATTTGCAGTGCCATTAGATTGACATGTTAAACGTTTCCTCCAAGACGCATTATAAGTAGGGTTGCCGACTTTTCAGGAAATGTAGACACGAACACTGGGAGTGTTAAAAAAACAAAGACGAAAAAAATACAATATATAAATGCATGTTTCAACACCCTGATTCGTAAACATTAATGTCAGAACCATAGGTCCGAATAAGCATCGTGCAACCGCAAAGAGGTGGCAACCCTAACAATAAAAATTGAAATCTTCATTTGCAAGAGCGCATTTGTAAAGAATTGTTCTCGGCTCATCAAGTATTATCATTATTCTATACATATGTCTAGTTGATAATTTTATATTACGGGAATAATCGTGTGTGTGTGGAAAAAACGAACAGGAAACAATTTTTTGAAATTGATTCGCTAGTTTCAGACCTATTTTTTGTTTAAATTGTTATTACACGTAATTTAATAAAAATAAATAGAATAAGGAAGAAAGGAAGATTTATATTGAAATTAGTTACATGTCCATCTAATGGAAAACACGATAAAAAGCAACAAATTTCTGAAAAAAAAACCTAATTTCTTTTATTCAGCTTTCCAAATAACATGGTTACTATCATTGTATGTTAATTAATAAGTTTGTTCTGTTTTTATTGTAAAACAATGACTTTTAAAAAATGTCAGTGTTGACCGATTTTAAAAGAGAAAGCCAGTGAAAGTGGCAAGGACCTTTCTCTGTGGTCTTTGGCTTCATGCCATAACTAGCTTTTATTTGCACACACTTATTACTATCTCATTATATTTATCTTTAAAGATTCTTTACATTTTTACGTTCACAATCCATCTTTCGAAAACCATCAACTTATAAAATAGCAATATAATGTCAAAAAAAAGAAACAAAAAAATTGTTTAACAGTTAATTTCCATTGTCGGAACGTCTGTCTAAAACATATTCTCATCCATATCACTGTATTAAAAACAGAGATAAAACTTCTCAGTGGAAACCTACGTTTACAGATTCTTCGTAGGGTACAAGAAGATCCAGTTTGCAGAAAACAGCATTAAAAAACAAGTCAACATTCTTTCGTGATTATTGCCGCGTAATTGTCTCATGTGTTTTTTTTTTATTTATAATGATAAATAGTCAAATGAACTTCTACATAGTATAAAATAATTAAATAACACGTTAAAATCAAAAGCAGCGTTAAATTATGTCAAATATACGTGGAATTATACTTTTGTGATTACCTAAATCGAACATGGATTACAGAACTGTACAATAACTTTAAAGAAGATATCTGTAAATTAACAATTTTTAACATTAAAAAAACTTAAGTACAGTTGTATTCAACGTTTCTCGGTAAAGAAGGCAGCGTTTTAAAACAACAATAGTAACTTCTTCGAAAACATTAAGGAAACAAAACATCTTTCTCTCTTTTTTGTAATAATGGGGACATTCCTTTTAAACAGTTAATATAACTCTCAATGAGTGAAATAAAAAAGATCAATTTTAAAAAGTAACTCAATCCCTTCGTCATTGATTTTCAATGAACCCGGTAAACGGTTTAAGAATTGTTTATTGTTAAATCCTTGGCATTTCCATACCATTACATTTCCTGGTAATGAGAGCATCCATGTTTGGGACTCTCTGTTTCCATTGATAAGTAATCTATATCTATACTAGTATAATAAAGTAAACACACTACTTTCTGGCGTAGGATGTCAGCAATCACAGAATATTTTTGAATAATTCTTTCATTAATAAAAATCCCTGCACTTCCAACACGCTTTAAGCCATACATTTTCACGCTATTGAACGTAGGGTGTAAATAAATTAGAGACCTACATGTGGGAAAGGGATCATAACCTACAAGCTGCCAACATTAAGGAAGCAAGGTTATGATGTAACAGTAATTTTGACATTTGCAATTGAGAATTAGACAAATGTAAGCAATAAAATGCAGTCTTTATAATTTCATGCGGATGAAACCGCACGGGAACAGCTAGTTATAAATAAAACAACAGCTCCTATACTATAAAAGTCTAGGAGCGAAGGTTTTTCAAAGCCTGTCTTTTAATCACTTGCTTCCTTCACATTGAAATTGTTGAATCACAGTAAATGAACATTAAAACAGACAAAAACATTTACAATAACGGAAGTATGAAATAATAAAATGCATCGCACCGAGTCATTACTTTATTTAACGCGAGTTATTTGAAGGGAAGGTCGGATGTAATAATTTGCTCTGCAAAGTATCTCGTTAACGGACAAATTATAAAACATCTTAAAAACACAATTATGTTATTTCCCCCAAAATGTCTTTAAGCAATTTGTTCAGAGAAATTTCAAAATGTTTTACAATTGCTAAAGCGTCTGCTTAATTTAAAACGATTGTTTTAGATTTTATAATAATTTAATGCTATGTCATTTGCAAGTATATATACGCCCATTTGCTTGTCACAAAACAATGTATGCTATTGTATGTTGATTACATCTCGGTACATCAAATACCATTCAAGTCTAAGCTAGTTCACCTTCAATAAGATAAAAAAATGTCCTCAGATTTAACACGCATTCGTCACAAAGCCTAAAATGTCACGAATATATTGTACATTTGTTATTGTAATAAACATTGCCATTAATAATAACAAACAACTAAATTGTATGTACGTGTACTTCATTATAAAAATAATTAAAGAGGAAATATAAAATATGGACTTGGTAATGGCAAAAAAAGCCCAAAATCTCTTAGATTATGTCACGGTTTCTGTTAATTTTGATTTTATTTTAGACATTTTTTTTCTTGTTAAATTAATGTGTTCTTCGATCATTTATGCGTATACAGTTCCGTTAGACAACAGTTAAAGGGCTAATGCCAATATTCTTGGCCATGCGGTGGTAAGAGTCTATTTGTCCTTGCGGGTATATTATAGTTCCTCTCTTTAGCGTCGCCTCTCTGTTGTTACGTTCTTTATCTCCAGGCGCGAGAACTGGCAACGATGGATCGAGCTACAAGGAAAAAAAATATTTTTTTTTTATAACATAAAGTGGCAAACGAGCAATCGGCCACCAAAATCCGCCAACTGGCGAAGCGACCGCTGCCTATAGACATTCGCAATAGCGGATTCGTTTCCTACTCTTAATTGACAGAGGAGGAGATGCACATAAAAAGAATATTTTCCCTTCATATGCGTCTCTTGCACCGTCAAATCCACGTTCCCTTCCATTCCTTTCTTATTAAAAAAAGAATGGGAAGGAAAATGGACTAAGGTTGGGTCTCCCACTTCACAACTGTCTTCTGTGTGGTCGTGGTATTACACCAGGCCAGCCGACCCATACGAGCGAATTTGTTAGAGCGGGCTCTACCACTGTTGCATTTCTTTAATTACTTATTTTTCAGTAGAGTTTTATATCTAACAGTCGAAGTGTTACTTACAGGTTCCAAATTCCTCCAATGCATTAAACATTCAGCGACCCTCTGTCCAAACCCGGGCGCGAAGCAATCGGGGTCGATCGCTGCAAAGCATTGCCCCAAGTCTGGCGCAACGTCCTGGCTGAACGACCAACTGGGCACTTTGTAGGTCGGGTTTGAACCTAGAAAAAAAAAATTATGATAGATAACATGCGTTTACTTCGTTTTGGTTGGTAAGCAAGCGAAAGATTAAACATGAACTAAATAGTTTTGTTACCTGAAAGTCCGCTACAGAATATTTCTACCATAGTATTGAGACAGTATCCTTTATGTCCGCTTGTTTTTTCTAAACCTCCTAATGGTAGTAATTTCCCAGTGTCGAATGCCTAAACGGAATACAAATGTACATTTTAATCATCTGGTCGTAGATTTACATGTTTGCTAATTTATTTTTCAAGGCGCTCGTATTTTCGAACTAAATAAAAAACAGATGAATTCAACTTTAGAAACGAATTCCATGAATTTATAAAAACAGAACAAAAGAGTTCAATAACCTACTATGTTTTATTATCTAGTAAATCGATATTCCTATTTTTCAGTCGCTATTCCGTAGTAATATTAATAAGAAATTCTGTAGTGATCGATCAAGCGGAAAATTGCTTCGATCGAAAACTTACCATAGCGTAAATAACTCAATGTCACTTTAACTAGCCTGAATCTAATGCAAACTATGCTATAAAGAAGACGAGGTTTATACTTTGAAAAACATGTAGTTACTATTCGTGTTAACATATACCGTCTTAATTATGACTATTGCATATTAATTTGAAAGTTATATATAAGGTATCGTAAATATATCAATTGTGAAAGATTTACTATTACGTTTATTGTTACGAGTGCCATATCATTTAAACATTTATTTAAATACCTGGTTAGTTATTTACATCTGGTCATCTTCCTGTTAGATTATTAACATGTGTGAAAATGACTCAAGAATTTGCAATTTAAAAAAACTGAGGAATAAATCCACGGTTTTATTTTAGTATGTACTCACCAGTGGAGCATTTGTAGTAGTTTTATTATCTGGTCCCAACGCCCATCCTTCGGGTATCGGTTCGTTTTTGTGTATCTGCATCTCTATCTGTAAAATCAAAGAAATAACTTATGTACCACTTCAACATAACCATTAACCATCATTCAAAACAAGTCATCGTTTCCTACAGGTGGCATTATGTATGTTATTTTACCTTTCCCATAGCAGCTGTGGTTGTCGCCATATCAACAACCAGAGAGTCCCCGTTTAGTGCGGGAGCCGCTAACGCCAATGGATTTGTACCGCACGCACTCTAGAATAAGATTGACGATTCTCATAAACTGATGTTTCATTTAAGTATTTACTAGCCGGTCGATACTTTAATTACCTCTTTAGATCTTGTTGGTATCATAATAGGTGCAGAATTAGTGAACGCCAAGCCAATGAGACCCTCCTTCTCCGCTTTCATGGCCCAATATCCTGCCATACCGAAGTGGTTCGTTCCTGTATGCAATAAAACAGAAAATAACTTCCGTGAGCAGTAAAAAAATTGTAAGTAGTGATTACTGCACTCGGTTCACTGTCCAAACCTGCACGTGATCCTAAACCTTTTAGGTTAGGAACGTAGCAAAATATATAGTATTCGTTCACCACAATTTAACAATGAGCGAATCATGTAAATACTTATGTCGTGTTTGCCATCTTCCATATATAAAAGCAAAAGTTTACTTACGTTTAGCAGACACCCAGCCTACACCACACCCTTTAGCTTTCTTGATAGCCAGATCCATGCAGAAGTTAGCAGCGGTAGCACCCAGCGTGTCCATACCGTCCACCCATGCTGTAGCGGGTGACTCCTTTAGCACTACTGGCTTAAGCTCGGGATGTGTCAATCCTCCTTTGATGTCGTTCACGTATAACTCTAAGGAAATTTATCTTGATTTAATAGGATTCTATGAAGTTAATGTGGATTCGTGATCACGGTGGTGCAGTTGCTATGCCCTGAACTTGTAATCTATAAATCCTGGGTCCGACCTCTGTTATAGAACAATGCGAAATTCATTTAAACATTTTATCTTACACTCTTAGGGTTAAGGATATATTGGGATGCAACCTGCACATATTTGAAGATATAATAGAGTAATCCAGACACAGTCAGCGAGGTTGACTAGGGTCATATCACCCAATCACCTTAGCTCTTCAATAGGTAATCTTGGTTACTAACCAAGTCTATTCAATCCATGACTGAAGTGTCCGACTGTGTCTGCATACAGCAGTAGATCCGCGTGTGCCTCAGCTTCAGGCTTCGGCGCACCAACCACGACCAGGCTATCCACCATGAACCGCCGCACTTCCTCCACTCGCACCTCAGGCATGGCTGCAACTGACTGTCTGAAACGCTTAGCCTTCTT